CATATCATACACAAACATTTTGAAATGAATGCACACACACACACACACACACTTTCATATCAGAGACAAAACTGGGGGTGTTAGCAATAGCCACAGACTACTGTCTTAAAAGAGATGCATGGCTCTCAACTAGAGGAAAGGACATAACCATGAGATCATGGCATGCAGGCTTCGACCCCAGGAACGCATGTGTAAACAGCTGAATCTGCACCATATGCCGAGTCCATATAGAACAAGCAAGACTTCACTTCTTTTTAAAGCAGGAAAGGTTTATATTTGGCTCCTGCCAACCAAAACCAAGAGAGTGTTGGTGTGTTTATTTATGAAGCTATGTGCTCCTAACTGCTCTCATCTAGAGACTGCTGAATAGATAAACAGGTCTGCTCATCATGAGACAATTTTGGCCAAGACAGGTTGAAGTCCGTCTTCCTGGGGCATCTGCTACTAGGGTTGGCTCCGGGCAGATTTGTGAAGTGAGCAAGGTCGACTTGGTCCTCATATTTCCCTTCTGTCCTCCTTTTTCTCCATTTTAGCATCCCTGGCTTAATTCATTTAAGCCAACATTTATGGTACTGAATTTAACATTTACGGCAGCATTTACCAGGCACTGTGCTTGGGGTTCTCTGCCCTGGTCCTATAATATTCACGGCCTTCACTAGTATTTGAAAATGGAGCTTGGTTCTTGTCCTTCCATAGTCTGAGCCTATGTGGAAAACATTTCAGGCTGAGGGGGTGATTAATTTCCATCATCGTCTGCAACTGCCTACGATCTAATTTTTAAATTGTGCCTCTGAATATTACAGACACACACGCGCACACACACACACACACACACACACACACCCTCAACCTTGGTTGGCTGATTTGAGGGAGATTTATGAGTTCTCTTTATTGCTTCCTTGAGGAAGGGGTGTTAAAGACTTGAGATCGCTCAAAAATAATGTTGAGAATGGGTGACTGCCCAAACACAACCAGAATGGTTAGTTTAGAGCAAAAGGACAGTGTTTGAAAAGTGCACACTATTTCCCTTCATCATCACTACATTTTTTTTAAAAAGTGGAATGATTTGAATTTCTCCCCAAAGTCTCCATTTTCACCGGGCTGACAGAACCCACCCACACGGGTGTCATGGTAAATGGAGGGCAGAGCACTCAGCTGGACATCCTGAGACCGGGCTCCGAGGCTCGTTTGGTGTGATTAGCTGAAGTACCTTGCTATCTGGGGGAAGAACTGTAACATACATTGTAGTAAAAAGAGCAGGGGACAAATGTTAGAAGACCGGGATTCTAGGCTGAAGTCTGCTACTAACTAGATGCATGTCTTTGGGAAAGTGGCTGACCCTTCTTGAGTCATAGTGTCCTTATCTGTTCAGCAAAAGAGTTGGTCTCCTATAAAGTGTGTTTTGATACAAAATGAAAATTCATAACGGCTCCTTGCCACTGCCATCTATGCTCAGCCTTGACAGTTTAAGTGCCGGCTAGGAACAACCCAATGGTGTCAGCAAATGGGTTGATTCCGGCGTGATGTGTTCAACAGAGTAACAGATTCATGTTGCCAAAGGGAACCAAATCTGTGGTTAAATGGAGTGGCCCGGCCTGGCTAGTCACAGGTCAACCTCTGCAAAACCTATGCTTCTTGATACCAGAGTTATGGCTCTATGCTGAGTTTTTCTTTCTGCCTTGTCAATTTGGCTCACTGTTGGCATAGAAGAAAGTGCATGTATTTCCCTGAAAGTCATTGCCAGGGTAGTCTGGCTCTGCTGCTCAGATATATCCCATTCCATCTGTTCCTGCCTGAAACACAGGGCTGGCTACCCAGCTTCAGATCCAGGCAATGAAACAGAGCGAGCAGAAGCGACACAACTTTCAAGCTATTAGGTTTCTTCAGCTACTCCGCATGCTTCCCTCCATCTCAGTTGGCCCCCGATACATTGAAGTCCCCCCAAAAGGGCAGAATTGGCCATGTGGTTTTAGTTTTGACCTAAGTCATAGCTTCAACTTGTTCTTATCAACTTTAGGGGATTCTGTCTACCTTTGTGACTACTTTGCATTTTCCTCTTCTGACCTATCCTGGCTACCTGAGGGGTAAGTGGGCAAATGAAAGGGGTCACTTCTCAGAAGCCTTCATTGATATCCCCACATGACGTCTTTCCCACCGCAACCCTGGAACTGGTTAGGGGTGACTATTTGGGCTTCAACAGTAGTAGCCTGTGACCGCTTGTCATCCTGTCTCCTCTCTTCTCCACAAGGAGACTGTGAGCTCCTTGAAGGCACATATTGTATCTTGTATTTGTCTATGAGACCCCAGGGTTTGGCACAATGGCACAAAATAAACGTTCAATGTTTTTCAGTTGTCTTAAAGTAATTAAATTTTAAAAATGAATTTACCAAAATTGTCCACCTGGAGACCCCCATGGAGTCACATACTATCCTCTCCAATTTCCTCATGTATAAAACAGAAATAATAATAATAGTGCCTATTTCATAAGCTTCTGGTGGTTGAGGATTAATGAGACAAAACTGTCAAGTGCTTGGTACAGAGGTTGGCTCAGAGCACTCAACACATATTAATTATGATTTCACATAACCAAGATATGTATCGGAGGCAGCTTGAATTCCGTATTTTTTGTTTCTTCAAAAAAACAGGAGACCTAATTTCTTTTCAGAGAAGAAAAAGCCGTGCCTTCTATCTCCCAGCTTGTTTCTGGCCTCAAAATAAAAACTGTTCCACATCACACTGTCATTAGGTCAAGTAACATGAGAAACCCAGCAGAAGAGCAGGCCGGATGCTGCCTGTTGTGACAGTGCATCATGGGAAAAGCTCGTTGTGACAGTGCATCATGGGAAAAGCTCCAAGGTGCAGAAATCTACCTCCCCACAGCGCACACCGCCTCATACTCCCAAACCAAGGAAGTACCGAGGGACTAACTACACTCTCTGAATTACAAGGCATAGCCTAATAGCGATACACTGGTGTAGAAAGTGTGGAAAAGGCCCCCAAACAGTCTCACCATATTGAGACTGCTCTCTACTGCTCCTGTTAACACAGACAGCCTGAGATGGGAGAAAATGTGCAGAGAAATCATTTTTAAAACCTCCTGAAACTGATGGCACCTAAGTCGGATCAAGGGACCCGACACACATATCCACGAAGAGGATATTGGAGAATTTTTTAATAATCAACAAAAATAACGAAGAATTACAAAGAACTACCTCAATCCATGAGTCACGTACACGGCCAATAAAAGGCACCTAGCTCAGAAAGTGCAAAGAGGGAGGCCATCATGGTGGCAGAGGCGTGGGATGTGTCCAAATACAGCAAGTGTGCTAGAAGATCACATTTATCTACTTAAGAATGTATTTATGCGGGCCTCCTACTGTTCACAACCTGGGTATGGTATCAGGTATGCATTCTCTGTGTCATCTGAACTCAAATTCGACCAACGCTCCCTTTGCGACTCACGCTGAGATTCTTCACTCAAAAGATAAGAGACTAGGTCCCCACAAAGCCAAAAGAAACCAAATAGTGCCCCTTTCAAAGTGTAAGAGCAATCACAAGCATCCATCGCGATACATCAGGGTCTAGAAATGGAGACTGTGACCTGCAGTTGTCAGGGAGACAGGTGCGTACAAGGGCCCCAGACTTGGCCTGCATTTCTGCAAGCATGGCGCTAAAAGCGATTCTCCAATGTCCTATCTGCTCACCGAGAGTGCACGCTGACGATGAATCGGGACTAATTTGGAAACATTCATCTGCTTGGGACTGTGGGCATCAATTACCTTCCTTCATAATTTATGCAGCATTTTGATTGTGGTGTGTGGTGATAAATAACTGAAATGAGTTATAAATGCTTGGAGATTTGGTCTTATGTCTTCACCACCGCTTTTTATGTTCTCCAAGATAGCCCACATTCAACTTTATATGCAAACCTGAAATGGTATTCAGGAGGAGAAGAAAAGGAAAAAAAAAAAAAAAAGGCAGCCAGTAGATCTTTCACTTTGGGAACTGAATATAAGATCATATTCAAAGTGCAGCATTTATGGTCCAACGCTGAATACATAAAATACATGACCATTACAAATTCACCTTTCATTGCAAAGCCATGCTTTGCAATGTGGTATGTATATGTATATAAGACATATCGTATTGCTAGATTAGAGCTTTTAGCATGATGAAGGCATCTTTCATCTTCTCCTAGATGCAGGCTGGGTACTCCTTCTGGGCTGTATTTCTACCTGTCGCAATGCCCCACGCCCCTGAGAGATGTAGCCTACAGAGAACCCAAGTCATTCTCCAAAGCCTGCAGCCACTTTGGAGGGGAAGCACCTAATCGGAGGCATGTCCTCTGCATGGGACCACATTATTTCAGCCATGCTCTGCTGAATCCAATTGGCTGGATCAGCCAATACTGTTTTCTGGAATTAACCCAAAGAGGTCAATCTAACATCACAAATACTCAGCCAGTACAAATTTTGGCAATACCACAAAGACAGTTGCATGTAGGACATGGTACATGCTGGTTACTAGGAAAAGAATATACATACCACATAAATCAGTGATATGGTTACAGTGGAAATGTACTTAAACCAGGACATTCAGGGAATGGCTTTCCAGGTTTTTCCAATTCAATCCTAAACTTTAACATATAGGTCAAAGACAGATTTTCATGGATTTTGCAACTCATATAATGATGAATCAGTGCTGCTGCTTCTTTCTTTAATTTTTGAAACACATAGTCCAAATCGTGCATTGCTTTAACTCCTTGACCTTCACACTTAGCCTGACTTTCCCGTCCCTCTCCTCCCGCATCTTTCATCCTTCATATACCCAATATTCTTGACACATGCTTCACTCATTTACCTTTCTCAGTGACTAGCCCAGTGCGAGGCACACGGAAGGCATTCCACAAATCTTTGTTGAATGAGTATGAATGAATGACAAAATGAGGACAGCACAAGTCTTGGTGATATGTTAAATGCACAGGGACACTTTTCACTTACTTCCCACTCTTAGATGCATTCCGGGCCTTTGTGGATGATGGAGAGTTGGCGCCTGGATTAGTGTTGGGAGAACCCCGTCTATCCTTACTATACCCACAGAAAGAATAGAAAAAATATATACAGCAATGACCACAGAGACAAAAAGCAATTAGTCATTTCATTTAAATACTTTCAAGCTCGGTCTCTCTCTCTCTCTCTTTCTCCTGTCAAAATAGAGCAATGATCTTATCCAGTGGTGAGCCCTTCAAAGGTAAAGAGAGTGGGAACCACTGGTCAAGTTCAAAGAAAGCTATCCTTTTGGCATTCAAAGCTTGAGCTGGTGGATTCCATTAATGATAACACCATAGCCCAGGCCCCAAGGGAGGCTCCAGTAGGAAAAAAAAAAGTGTAAAAATAACTAGTCTTTAACATAAAATCCTTTCTTTTCAGTCTCTGGAGTGTCTGTATTACAAGTTCAGTTCTGAAGCTGCTGACTTTTAGTGAAGTATGTGGATGCCAAATGACTTCTAAAAGTCTTTGGGAGATATTATCAGATGAATTAATAATTTTCGCTCATAATGTTAACATGGGAAGGCCGTGAATTCAGATATTCTTTCAGGAAAAGCACCACCTGCTTCATGAGTAATTGAATTTAAATCTCCACCTTCAATAACTCCACAGCTTATGTCAAACCTTGGAAACAATTACGAAATAAATCACTTAGGAAGGTCTGCTTAATCTCATCAGGTTAATAAACGCAGACAAATTAATCACTCGAAGGTAAACAAAAAGGAATAATTGATTGGAGTCTTCTTGATTACTTTATTCTATTTTCTTTATCAAACTATTTTTACCATTATCTTCAATTCAGCTACTCTGCCTTGAAATTATTACTTTACTCCATCTTCAGATTTCCATGGAAACCAGTTCAAAGCCTTTCTTTCCACTTGATGATGTGTGGAATTATTTATCCCGATTTCATCAGAAAGATTTTTTTTTTTTGTTAGTCAGATCTACGTCAGCATAACCTTTTATGAAAAGCGAAGGTAAAAAGAAAAATGCATATCTTGGCTTTCAATGACGGTAATAGAGCCTTCCAAAGGCATAGAATATTGTCTCAGAGAATGTCAAAGAGCTTTCCAGACACTTACGAATCTTTTTAGTCCCTCAGAAATAAGTACCTGCAAGTCACTGTATTTATATGTGGGGTGCCATGGGGGTCACAAAAGATGGTCTGCCCTGCACTCATCAGCTTTAAATGGCGACACGGACGTGACTGGAACAAGAGAGAATCATAGGGATTCGGCAAGGTAACGCAGAAGGGTGTGGGCACAGACGAGGGCTAACCAGACAGATAGCAAAAGCTCCAACAGTTCTTTGGAGTGGGAGACACCAAGGTAAGCTCCGATCCTTCTGCTGGAGGGGGCAGACCTTCTAGAAAGAGTGAGCACACATTCCATCCTGGGGGAGATATCAGAAGCCTGCCAAGACAGAGTGCTGGGATTCCTGCACAGTGCAGGGACCACTTCATTGTGCTGCTCATGGATTCACCAGACTGTGGCTGCATTCTGAGTGGGGTCTGTGGACTCCAATATGCCCCGGCCTATCTATCTATTAATGACTTTCCAGCAAAATACTCCTTAGCCACACCTGGGACCATACCAGCTGCCCTCCTCATCCAGAGCCAAGCTCAGAAACTAAGAGATAATAACCAATGGGGCAAGAGACTGTAACTCAGAAGAATTCAAAACGGCCTCCTCCAGCAGGCTGGGGCAGTCCAATGCAAAGCACACAATATGCTGTGGGTTGCAAAATTCAAGTCGGGCTCAATTTCCTCACTTCCACATCTTGGTCCCTGGCCACCGCACCTTCCTCCGCCTCGCCCCTCACTCAGACAGGAGGGAGTGGGAAACTTCAGGGGACGCATTCTGAAACAAGGGCTCTTTTGATCTTGCAAGTTACGGGCTCGGCTCGGACTAGGTGGTCATTTAAAGGTCCCTGAGTCACTAAGTTCAGGCATCCGCGTCCTTTTCAATGCAAGAACACCCATTCTCACTGCTCAATTCCCATGCCTGTGCCTTAGACACAAGAGTCCTTTATCATCTGCAGGACAAGTGACCCCATCTAAACTCCATGCAGGGCGCGGCAGGACGTCAGGGAAAGCCAGGAGCCGGCAGCTTTCTTATTGTCAACTGCTGCTCTAGGTGGGGGGCGGTCTGCAAGCAGTAGTCCTTTAAAAAGATAGGAATAAGGACCCCTCTGACCTCCTGCCAAATCCTGGACATGGAGATGTGCAGGGAATAAAAACAAAAACTTTCTCAGAGAAAAATCACATACGGAAGGTATGGCACCATGACTGGGGGTGAAAGTAATCAAAGAACTCAGAATGTTTCTTCTGGACAAATGGCTGATCCATTGGCAGTGATGAAGTGTATCCGAGAGTGGTGCAGGGACCAAGCACAGTTTTGTGGCAGGCTTGGATCCCAGGAGTTTCATCCTGTAGATCCACCAAGGACTGTCGTATCAAAAGGCTTGGTGGACACTGAGGGAAAAGAGTCACCAGTCTGCCCCGAAGTCCCAGCCTCAGTAGCTAAGTCTGAACAAGATGCTCTAATTCTGAAACCTCGAGACTTCAGGACCCTGAGCTTTCCAGAAGTGTCCCGCGAGCCAGAAAGAGAAAATCCTGCAGCCACTGGAACATCCAGCGATCTCAGGGGCGTACAGGAATAAGCCCTATCTGCTTGGGGCATACGGATGATAATGTGGGGCATATGAGATGGGAGGGGAGCTGCGTTGACTCTGAGCTGGTTTCCAACCCACACATCCGAAACAGACCTACTCCTGTTGTCATTATTTTGTCTCTAGAACGCTTGTCAGATCTCTTTACTCTGAATCATCTCGTTGGGTTGCGATCTTAAGGGCTGTGGCCTGGAATCCCTGAAGAGTGCGAATCCGGGCTTCCTCCACTCCTCCCGAGGAGTTATCCTCCACTGAGAAGATTCTTTCCGCCCTCCTCACACCCAGCCTCATCAAAGGCCTATGCAAACTCTTCCAGGTGAGCTCCTGATACGGAAAGTTAATGAGTGCCAGCACTCCTGTCCGCCTGGCCGGCTGTCCGGCTCCATCCATCAAGGAAGCCATTTTCCACAGGCTCCACAAATAATGCCTCCAACACCAGAAACTTGGGGAAAAACCTGCAGTATTACGCACATTGTATTCAGGTGGGAAAACTCTGACTAACCCAACTCTCCAGCATTTTCAAAGTGTTTCTGATTGAATAATTTGATGCTGAAACAGCATCCAGTGTACTTAACCCAAGATGGCAATCAGATCCACTCCAATCTGGATTTTTCTCTTAGATCAGAGAGGTACTTGAGGGAGGAGAACCTAGCAGTTTCAAACACACTCAACTCACTTTCTTGATGGGCAGCATACAGAAACTTCTGCATTTCCTATAGTACTTCGTGGGCTCTTTTTAATTCATCTCAGACCCATGAAAATGAGTCACACTGCTCTACCTACAACAGCACTGAAATTAAAAAAATTAATTGTCAGGGTCTTAGGAAATTGAATTTCAGGAGCGTCGGGCTGTCATACTGACTGCCTACGTATCTTTTATTTGGCGCTGAGCATATGGTGCTTGTAGTGTTGTTTACATTTTATTGTTTTTCTGTCCAGCTCTTAAGAGGGCACTCAGAAAAATGTTTGTTAAACAAACAAATGGAAAGCGCTGCCTCTGGGCTCCGGAGAAAGGAGTGCCACGATCGCTGATCAATGTCTGGCACTGGTGGGAGAGAAGAGGTGCTGACACACACGTCACACATTTTCCATTCCTAGAGAAGAATGGCCTGGGCGGACTGTATTCTAGTCGGATTCTGGTCTGGTTAGAATTGGCTTGATGGCTGATCATCACGTGGATCACAAGGAAAGGGTGCTCCAGCAAGCTTGCCTGAGTACCTGGCTAGTGCCTGTGCATAACGAGAACGCTACTGCATTTGTACAGCTCTTCATCTTTTCCCGTGTGTGTTCTCGTAAGTGGTAACTGAGATGAAACTATCTCAGTTAAGTGGTATCTGAGATGAAGCTACCTCTAAGGGGTTACTTCAAATCTATCTGGGGAAATGGTAGCTAACTGCTCCCTAGGGATGACTCCAGGCTCCTTGAAGCTCACATGATGAGGAAATGCCCTTAAAATATATAGATTCTAACCAGGGATAGAAGCTCGTCTGATCTGCTTCCCCAACAGGTGCTTGAGCTCCCTGTATAACAGATCCACCCAGTGGTTGTCTTTTGAAGGGCTTTGAAATCATGGTCGCTTCCCCATCATGATTGCTTCCCTATGCAAACCGGCCTTCCTATTTTCTAAGAGGCTCACATTTCTGAAGTATTTTTGCCCTTGTTCTGTTACTGAGCAAGACATCTCTTCAAATATTGATTTCCTTCAATTAGAGCTGATGAGGCTTCTATATTTCATTTTTCTATCTTGCTAGGTTATGTCCTGAGTGCTTTTCTTTCTTTGCTCCAAACTTCTTTCATTTTCTTCCACCCAAAGTGTCTCAATTACTGTCCAGACCCCTTGAAGGGTCCCGTTCCTATTATCTATATTTCTGTGAATCATCAAGCAAAGAAAGTTCAGTTCGCTAACCTGTGCTTTCGGTTAGCTTCCTTCCCTAGCTTTTCTTTGCTTAACTGCGGATAATGACAGGTTTTCAGGGACGAGAACAGCTCATCTGTATTGCTAGGAAGTGCAGTGTTAACTGTGATCTCTCCAGAGCAACCTCATCTGTGCAAAGCATGTATTCAACAATCTCAAGGTCTAATCCTGGCTGCCAACGAGGCACATATAACTTCTTGCTGTCTTAGGATTCTCATCCACAGAGCAGAGGGAATTAAATTGATCGGGTAAACCATTCACACATACGCTCACAATTACTTTGTAATTGCAGAGCTCTTGGAAAAGGCAGCCGGGATGCTCACATTATCTTGCCCTCTCCCCTTGCATTAACTTTTCACTCTTACAACTCCCCACAGGGAGATGGGGGCCTGGAGCAATATGCTTATTGATTATTGTTGCTGTTTTGCTCTCTTCACCTCTTGGCACACGCTGT